TGGCCCACTCGAGGCTCCCTCCTCGTTCGCATCCAAGCGACAACCGGCATTCCTCTTGTATCGACTCGCGCCATAGTGCGGATAGCTCTCTAAGTTCTCATAGTGGACCTGATATAGGATACAGTGGTTAGGGCAGGCAAGGAACTTTTTAAGCTTCAGCACAACTGGCCGGATCAGTTTCTTCACCCAATAGGTATTGGCGGGCACCTTATTATCCTCGGGGTATGTAGAAGCTAGTGTCAGACCAGCCATGGCGAGCCTTCAGCATCAACATCTGGAGGTTAAAACGTAGCGTCGTCCACTGCTTTGGACAGTCCTTATTGAGGGGATCAATTGTCGCCTGCTTCATCTCTTTGAAATTCTCCAACCACCTCGGGCTCCTAAACAGAACGTTGTTGTGGTCGAGGCAGTTAGCTATGTCCTCAAAAAGCTCCACATCCTCAGGTTCCATCACAGCAGCCTGCTCACCATCCCCATCGCCGCCCCCACCACCGTCGTCGACCATGTCTTGGAGTAATCATCCATCATGATGTAATCATGATCAGCGTTGTCACCGGCAGCAATGCCGTGCCTGCCGGATGCTGCTGATGATGATGAGGGTTGTTGTCCTCCGTCATGTTTTGTAGTCACCGCCACCGTCGATGTCGACGAGTTTCCTCCAGATGCACCGGCACTTGCAAGTGAAACGTCTAGATGGTATAATCCTTGACGAAACCATACCGGACCAAGTGAGATTGCACCACGTCATCTTCATGGGCAAGCTTGTTCTGGCAGCGATTACATAGACAAATGACGATGCACGGCTGTTTTAGACTCAGACGATGCTTTTTCACAGCGGCAACAAACTTTTTCACCTGAGCGTAGTAAGACGGATCCAACCTCAATGTCCGGTACATCCATTCTCGCCTGTCCATGCCCACAAACCTTGCACCCACAGCGAAAAAGGCATATAATTAAGCCGAGTAGTATTAAAAAATGCAGCCGGGTAGCTCTAGATCTGTTTTCTCTCTCCTCCATGTAGATCTAGATCTAGATCTAGAAAAAAAAAGCACCCAAATGTTGAAAAGGAGAGAAGAATGAGGATTGGAGAGCATGTAGAAACCTGTTGCGGTGCCCCCCTTCAACAAATCCAAGGGCAAAACTTCTCCACCTTAGAAATGCTCAAATTTTGGGGTTTTGGAGCTCAAAACCTACAAAAATGGAGGAGAAGCCGTCAGGAAGAAGGTTGGGGGCGGCTGGCGTTGTATTTATAGCCACAAGACTTAACCGATGCGGGCATCTTAAGAACAACCACCTCAGTTAATCGGTATTAACTAAAGCGGTCTCCTTAGGCCAACCGCCTCTGTTAATATATTAACCGAGGCGAGCACCTTAGGTGACCGCCTTGGTTAATACCGATTAACAGAGGCGGTTGCTCTGAGGCGACCGCATCGGTTAATAGATTAACCGAGGCGGTTTTGGTAGGAAGGCGGTTTCGTTAGGATGACCGCCTTGGTTTAACCGAAGCGGTCGAGTATGGATGCCCGCCTCCATTAAGTGTTAACCGAGGCAGGCGCTAGGCCGGCTGCCCGGCCACCAAATAGGTTAAATTAATCCGAGAAAATCATGGGACAAAGCATTGTTTTCATGTGGGTCCAACCCATGCCAGATGGTGTCAACCGTTGTTGTCTGTCCATTTGAAAACGCAAGTCATTTTGGTGTAATGTGTGAGCGATTCTGGTATGATACAACTCCAAGCCTTGCCCTTCATGCAAAATGGTAGCGACAAGGAGAGCTGTAGAGCGTTTCTACGTTGGGGTCACCGACAACGACTAAAGTTCTTGCTCGGCTTGATCTTGCCTCTCACTTGCCAACAACGTCTGCGAACGCTTCAATGGCACCGGTGGTTACATATAATAACATAATCTTCTTTGGAATAAGACACACCGTAGATACATCTTGGTGATGGGTGAAAAGTAGATCATACTTCTTCCGAGAATCCGTAGCGTTGTTTTAGTGCAAAGTTGGTCATACCGGTTCCACAAACATTGTAGGTTTCAGTGATCCGGTCGTGGCGGTATCATTCATTTTTTTTTGACCGAAAATACTGTGGAGGAGATCCCCACAGTGCAGGACTTTTAATAATTTTTAAAACAAGGGTACATAGTTTACTTACATGCAGCTTAACTAAAAGCAATTAACCAAACACAGAAGGATGATCTTAGATCATCCTTGAAATGAATAGGATGAAGATTACATTGGTTTATGAAATTAAAATGACCATAAGCTCGGGGTTGGATCTCTTTTCTGAAACACTTTGTCGTTACTGAACCTTCCATAGCTCCCACGCCGCTATCGAGTTGCCTCTGTGAAGAAGGGAATGGTATGAGCTTCACGAGCTTGTGTATACCTGTCCAAAGATGATAGCGATACATCCCAATCTATCTAAATAGTTGCCAAGCACTCCTTTGCGAATTGGCATTCAAAGAAAAGGTGATCAAGAGTCTCCTCTTCTCTAGCATCACACATGACACACATGGCGTCACCTTGGATATTGAGATGTCTTCTTCAGTAGCATAGTTTTGGTATTGAGCCTATCAACTAAAACCAACCAAGCAAAAAATTTCACTCGTGGAGTACACACCGGATCTCAGACGATCTTGTAGGTTTGGGTGTGCATCAAGATTGTTGAACACTGTGAGTAGAAGCGATGAGTGTGTAGGTGTTCCCCAGTGTTGGGACCCAATGATCTGCTGCCTCCTCATCATATGGTTGATCTTCCAAATGAGCTTGTAGCATCTCAAGTTCTTCATGGGCTTGTCTGCGAGAGGGGTAGGAAAAGATAGTGTCCAAATCATACTGCTTCCATAATTTCCATGACAGATGCATCTTCATTTCTAGCAAATGAGGCCAATCTTGGGTATGTCTCGAGATAGCTTGAGTCTGTCCAGAGATCATCCCGTAAACAAATGAAGCACCATTGCCTAATTCACATTTGGCAATACCCACGAAAAATGATGTTGAGCACGAGCACATCCTTCCACCAAAAGGATCCGACTTCTCTAGCAACATGTGGGACTTTATGGGTATAGTATTTGCTCCATATTAGCTGAACCCATGGGAGATTTGCTTTGTTGTAGAATTTACTTAAATGCTTCATGAGCAGGGCGTCATTATGCAATCTCAAGTTTAGGACACCAAGTCCCCCCTTTTCTTTCGGCATCATGACAGTTTCCCAAGCTACCAAATTGCCACCCTTCTTTCTATTAGCGTCATTACCACGCCATAGACATTGCTTTCTTGTGTGATCAATATTATCAATTACTCCTTTAGGCAGTTTGACTTTGCACATTGCATATGTGGTGATAGGTGTAATAGCTGAATTCAGCATCTGTAGCCTCCCTGAATAAGATAACGAGGTCGAGCAAGCCGAGAGCCTCCTCTCCACTCTATCCATCATCGGTGTGAGGTCCTCCATGCGCGGTTTAGTTGTACCCATAGGGAGTCCAAGATATGTGAATGGCATAGAGCCAATATCACATCCAAAAGTACTGGCAAGGTGCTGCAGCTTTTCCTGGGAGACATTGATGGGGTACATGTGTGACTTTCTGTAGTTGACATGCAGTCCAGTTGAGGCTGCAAAGCTATGGAGCAATGCTTTGAGGAAGAATAAGCGCTCAAGCGTCGACTTGTAGAAGAAGTATAGTATCATCCGTGATCTTGAACAATTGGGAAATCACTCATAGGTTGGGGATTAGTACAAGTAAGTTGGTTCATAGATGCAGCTCGGTTGATCAAAACTTGCAGAAGTTCAGCTGCTAGCACAAATAAGAGCGGTGACAGTGGGTCACCCTGGCGGACACCTCTCTTACACTTGAAATATTTCCCTGGTACTCCATTTAACAAGACTGCAGAAGACCCCATTGATAAAATTGCATGGACCCAAGTAAGCCATCTTTCTGGGAAGCCTAAATGTCTCATGACTTGAATGATTGCCGAGTGCTCCACTGTATCGAATGCCTTCTCGAAGTCTAGCTTGAGTATAATTATCTCACGTTTGGATTGTTGGCACTGATGAATGTACTCATAACTCCAGGCTAGACAATCTTGGATTGTGCGGGAGCGAATGAATCCATACTGGTTTTGGTGTACAACTTGTAGAATGACTGATTGTAACCTCTCAGCTAAAACTTTGGTGATTACCTTCAGGGAAATGTTCATGAGTGAAATAGGCCTGAAATCGTTAACTGTTTCTGGGCTGTTCTTCTTGGGCACCAAAGTGATGAAAGACTTATTTATGCTCTCTAGGTTGACCAAGCTTAAAGAGAAACCTGTGCACAAGAGATAGAAGTCATTCTTAACAATGTTCCAACACTTCTTGAGGAATAATCCATTAAAACCATCCGGGCCGGGGAGCTTTGTCCTTTGGGCATATGCTTGACTCTTGAATCAACCTCTGCGGTAGGATTGTTGTTGCTATATTCTCCAGCCCTTCTACTGGTGTGATAATGCTAGCAAGATCAAAGAGCATGGTGGGGGAGGAAGTAGTGCCCATTCAATTTCTGTAAGAAGTCCATAAAAGCCCGGCTTTGCTTTCATGTTCTGAACCCGGGCTCCATGCTCATTCAAGATCGTGAGATGGTGTTTCTTCTATAGGATATGGTTGCCATGCCATGAAAAGAACTTGGTACATTCATCTCCCAATTTGATTACATTTCTTGTGTAGCGCTTTCGCGTAATATAGGTTTTTGTAATGTAGCCAAATGCATGAGCTGCCTTTTGACTACATTCACGAGGTTAGCTTCGGGTTAAAGAGACCACGTCTATCTTCCGGTGATCAAGAAAGCATATGACATGATTGCAGATTCGATGAGAAGCCGTAAATTGGATATGTTCTTGCTCCAGTTCTTGAGGTTGGCACGTAATCCTTTGAATTTGGACGAGATATTCTGGCTGCATCGGTGAGAGACTGCTTTGGGAGGACCACCCTTCCGACACTGTCTCGAGAAAATCATCTTGCTCTACCCAAAAGTTCTCAAAAGCGGAATAGATTTGCCCTTGGTATCTTTGAAAATCTTGATTGTGATCTTGCACGGGATATGATCGGAGGTTATCTTTGCCATTGGGAGGACCTCTGTATTTGGAAAATCTAGTGTCCAGTTAGGTGAGGTAAAGAACCAATCAAGCTGCTCAAGGAGTGGGTTGGACTGCATGTTGCTCCACGTGAAAGCACGCCCCTTGAGGGGCAGTTCAACAAGACCTAGATGTCCAATAGCATCGTTGAAAACAAGTGTGTCTGACAAGTTACCACCAGGCTTGTTGCGGTTACTTAGGGATCTATAGAAGTTAAAGTCACCTAAGAAAATCCAGTTGTCCAAGTCATCAATGTCATGGTCGCGAAACCAGTTGATGAAATTTGTGCGGGCTGGCTCATCACAAGGGCCATAAACTGTTGTCAACTTCCAAACATCATTGTTATGCACTGAACTAAAACTCACTGTCATACCAAAGCTTTGTTTATCAAGGACGGTGCCTGTGAAGATAGCGCTGTTCCAAAGAACTAGAATTCCGCCCGAGGCACCTACTGATGGGATGAAGTCAAAGCAATCAAAGCGACGAGGGGCAAATTTCCTGATGTAAGTAATATCAAAAGATTCTCGCTTCATTTCTTGCAAGCAAATGACAGAACTGGCGCTTTCTTCTATTTTATCGCGGACAGCATCCCACTTCTCCGTTGCATTGATCCCCCGTATGTTCCAACATAGTATATACCAATTACGTGTATTCATCAGGGAACCAGAAAGGGGAGAAGACAACAACTGGCATGACTAGCATGACCAGACAGATGGGGCGATGCACTGATAGGATATAGATAACCATCATCCATAAACAGAATAAGATGTTCATAACGTGTACACAAGACCCAAATGGATCAAGCATCGATCGATCATTGAAGACTTGTTACGCGAGCGCCTCAAGAGCGCATCTTTGATGAGATCGCTAGGATCAACCCCACACTTGATACCCCAATCTTGGCAAAGACCTTTGGGATGGAGATAGGAGCGATCGTCTGTAGCTTCATCAATCGTTACCGCACACAGATCTTGCGCTTCTTGGATGGGTCATTTTGCTAACTTGACCGGACAATAACCTTCCTTGTTAGAGTTTCTCGTACTACGACGCACACTTGCCATTTGGGACAGGGTCTTTGGAGCTGCTTAATGACACCGTTGTGGGAGGGGCGAGCTTCTTCTTAACTGCAGTTCTTCTTTCCTTTGCGGCCTCGCACAGATGGTGGGTTGGGTTTATTTTGCTCCGGACAGATTCAAACCGAGGCGAAATTTGGGATCGAGTTAGGCCTCCTCGAGTTAGCATCAAATCGTTGATGCTTGGTTTTGCAAAGACGCTCGCTTTCAAGGAATATTGTCCACATTTGCAGAGGTATGGCATCATTGACCGGCTTCCAAGGTACTATCTCCAAGCCATGATTGGCTACTAGTGCACGAGGGAGAGCTGCTTGGACTGCATTCCTGTCCACAATGATAGAGGCTCTGGTGAAGACATCAGTTAGTATATCCTTTCTTCCCAAGAGCAGCACATTAGCACATCGTGCACAAGCAGCAAGAAATCTAGCCTGTTCTTCCACATCGACTGAGGTAGCGTCACTTGATGATGAGCTGCCATCCTCTAAAACATTCTCAGCCATCTGATCCAGAGAAATGTTTGGGCCATCCCCCCTGGGAATAGATGAACCAGAAAGCTCCAAATCGAGATGATACTGTGGCACTGCAGGGTGCTGTGGCAGTTGTTGTCCAACATCAGCAGGGACTACTGGATTCCAAGCTGGCCATTCATCCTCGTCTTCTTCATTCACATCCTCGATCATCGCTTCATCATTCTGTCCACCAGCAGCCTGTCCCTGAGCAGCAGGCTGCTGAATTGGGTGTTGAGCATTGTGTGGTGAAGAGTCCGGAGTGGCACTGCTGTACTGGTGCTTCTCTTTACCCATCAACGAAGGTTGGACATGTGGCCCACTTGGGACCTAATTGCCTTCCATATTTACTGCAGATTTCTGTTGCCAAAACCAGATAGGACCAGATCGTGTGGAGCACAAACCTTTTTTGTGGCCAAAATAGGAACATTTCCAGCAACGAATTTTTCCTGGGCACTTCCGGGCTACATGACCCAGTCTAAGGCAGCAAGTGCAATCCAGCCCATTGACAGCAGATTTGAAATTAGAAACTTGGGCCTGAGATCCACTTTGCAAGGAAAGGGATGGCTTAGCGTGATTCTTGTTCTGCCACTGCATGGCACTAGGCCGTTGCTGTTGTTCCTCCCGAAGAACACGATCAACATTGAGAAGAGCAGTGTTTCCAAAGACAGTGCGATCAGAAGGCGCAATTGGAGCTGAGAAAGACCCAAAAGAGAGAGAATCTTGAATAGAGCGCATGGTGGTTTTTTTGGAGGGGGAGTGAACAATCACGTGTGGATGAAAAGAGACTTTTTCTGGGATTTGGGAGCAGCCTTCTTAGTGTAACAGACTTTAGTCCATTTCTTTTCCTCTTCAATCTCCCAATCACGTTTCTCGCGTTCCCAGTGGGGAGCGCCATTGTTCCAGAGATGAAAAAAACAATCAAAGGTGGAGCTAATAACACGACGCAATTTATAGATGAAAAACCCAACTTCCTTTGAGAACACGGAGAAACGAAAATGATTGTTGCTCATGAACTTGACGTGGAAATCCAGGGCCCGTCCACCCAGACAAGATTGGAGGGCGAGTGCGACAGAATCCTCCGTGAGACGAAAGAGATGACGCCGGAAGGTGACGAGGAGGAAAAAAGAGCCAACAAGGGTTGGGAAGGGGTGATGAACCGGTGATCTGAAACGTCGACGAACGTCATCTTGGAACACCAAGCCGATGTCGAAATCCAATCGTGACACCAGGTCCGACGAGGATCCCATAGCAGGTCAGCCACCAGGGGGTCACCGCAGGGGACAGCCGTCAGGAGGTCATCACCATCTTCCCCCCTCCTTGGTCCAGCAAAACATCGAACAGGTTGCATGCATGATCTGCAGGGGGTCACTTCCGGCACTGAAGCAGGTCACCAAGGGACTGGGGCCATGGCAGCGTACTGGACGACCGCCGGCCAGACCGGCCGAGTCGAGCTGCCGGTAGCTTGATGCAGGAACCGCAGCCGGCGACTGGTGGGCGGCGGCGTGTCCGCTGAAAAAATAGCAGCCGACGCGACGTGGCCGGTGCTCACAGGCACAGATCGAGCTAGCGGAAGACCGAGGCCGGCAAGTGTTAAGCAGCAGAGGGACCGGTGCAGGGGCGCCTTGCACTAGACACTAGACACGCAAGATGGCCGGACGCATGGAGGGGGCTCGCTGGAGCGGGAAGACGACGGTGGTGTGCGTTGCGACGTTGTGCCCTTAGTCATGGAAATAAGTTATTACCTCCCGGCGGTATCATTCATTGCTAGAGCAAACCTACGTTCGGAAGGATTGTGTTCATGCAGACACGGCCATCCTGCATAGGCTGTACATTTTCGTTAATATGTCACAAGGAAAAGAAAAAAGTGCACTTTATTTTACAATGCATTTCACCATTTTTTCCATCCACATCTAGTGTAGACAAGTACACAAGCAAGACGGTCTCCATGCCAGACAGTGTCCATGTACATAGAAACACACCAAACCAATCACGAAAACCAGAAAATATCGTCAGAAGTCAGGAGACCAACATTAAATCCAAACTCATGTTGAAATAATCCTACAATGTTGAGCAGGGCAGAACAAGCTGAGCAGGGCGGAACGAGACAGTAGTACAGGAGAGCTTCGCTCATGTTCAACTTGTGAAGAAACAAATCCAAACTCGTGCTTCTGATAGAAATTAGCATTAAGATCAAGTTTTATTTGTCGTTGTAAACTCAATGGTTCTTTTGTTAATATGAAGTATCATGGTACGTGGTGTTCAAGGGGCAAAATTTGTGAACAACAGACATTATGATCTCTTAAAACATTGTGTAAAATAGAGACTTTTGAATGACATACAGAACAGAGTGTATTGGCAACGGAAAGGAGAGGAGAGACCAGAGTGTTATAAGCCTACATCCATACACCACTTTATAAAAAAAATCCATAAACCACTTTGCTTAGTGCCCAAAGGAGGAAGTTCTATAATCTTACTCATTCCAAGAGAGAGGAGAGGAGAGGAGAGGAGAGAGAGGGGGGGTGAATTGAGAGAGAGAGAGAGATGCCTATGGTCTTTGCACCATGCACAGATTCCACTACAACACCTATGATGACTGAAAAGGCGACCATTTGGTGGATGAATGAATGTGTCAAATTGTTCTTCTTGAGCATATGAGTGATATGGATGCATATAGGCCTTGTCTCATAGTAAGTCAACCTAAGCATTTTTTCTAGCTCTTGCCAAGATCATGTAGTACCTACTGACCTTAGGAACAAGACTAGGAAGATGTGGAATCATAGAGCAAAATAACAAAACTCATAAAAGATGCCAAATCAACAGATATGCCAACATTGGAGTGTCCTAAATGCTGCCTCATGGCAATTTATTAAAATTGGTGGGATGAAATCCAAAGCAATTTTTTATGAAAGATAACCACATGCCACCTTTTTATATTAGCTATAATGTTATATCATTAGAAGTCAAGACATCAACAAGCCTGTCCAACTATGACGGCAAGGAAAGTAAAAATCAGGACATACAGATATCATCCATGTTTTAGCTGTAGATTGTCCTTAGAAATCCTCAACTCACTTAGGCTGGGGCGGTCCCAGGGCCCGGCAACCCCTGGGGTTCTGGCCAGGCACCAGGTCTGGCGCTCATTGACGAGGTCCTACAAGGCTAACGGGGCAAGCTTGCTCTGACGTCCTAGGCACGCAAGCGGAGAAGAGATGTAGAGTACTCGCACATTGGAATCAGATAGCAGTACTGCCAAACTGCAAATGATTTTTCATGCGTTTGCTTTTGTGGTTGCTGGCCATGTTAATAACTAACTATATGTACTTGGACGGGAATTCATAGTACACACTACTACGACGAGAAGAGTCTCGGTGATACTAGCATGTATCGATGAATTAGTGTTGTAGAGCACGTAAAATATAGTACACGATCATGTTATTTGGATTAACAGGGGATTTCACGGGACCATGAAGCAACATGCATGGGCGCTGCCACCAGTCAAAGGCCAACAAAGGTTGTCTTGGACTTCACCCGGGCTCGGTTAAATTTCTAGGTCCGCCATTGTCACTAATGGCATATCAACAACATGGTCCTGACCTGTTCCAACAATATATTGACTCCCTGACAAACCAAATGTCCCATTACCTCCCATACTTATATAGTCACCTCCTGTGTATTTAGTTAAGCCCTTATCAGAGAAGAACAGGACTGCAGCATGGGAACCAAAAGAGTTAGTAGCTCACTTGTCATAGACTCATTGACGCACTGGAACTTAGGCTTGAGACAAATAATATATCTGTGTTCAAGGCTATTTGTCGCGGTACAATCATTGGTGCACCTATAACCATATCATGCTACTTGTTCTCCAAGATGAAAAAAATGTAAGCAATAGCACAGATAGTGACCATATGACAACATCGTAAAATAGGGGTTCTAATATAATGTCTCTTGGAG